TGTTTGGTGCTCGGTGGGTCGGTTTCGAACTGTTTGTTCCCGAAAAATTGCCGACGGGGGGAATATATTGGACGTTTGACTTTTCGTGCTGCGCGCGAAATATTAAAAGCCCCTCGGCGCGCGCTATGCTATCACAACTACAACTCACCCGAAAATGTTTTGACAATTATTAAAAAGCACGAGTAAGTTTTGCCCGTTAACGAAATTTTAGGTTCTCTTCAGAGAGAGAGAGTTAATTACGAGAGAGAGAGAGAGAGAGAGAGAGAGAGAGAGGAGAGAGAGAGAGTGAGAGAGAGGAGAGAGAGAGGAGAGAGAGAGAGGAGAGAGAGAGAGAGAGACGAGAGGAGAGAGAGGAGAGAGAGAGAGGACGCGAAGTTGACTGATGCTCGAAGCTTAGCGTTGATCGATTTCAGAATTAATAATGCTACTCCGGAAGCTTCAACTAACGATAATTTATTGCAAGTTTTCTGCTGCTTTATCGATGGGTTTGAAATTTTAACGAGGAATATACCGCCCGGAAGAAAATGCCACTCAATCATTCTGACATATTCTGGACTTACGCGCCGACTTGATAGATTCATTGTTTAAAAACTCGTTACAATTTCCATTTCTATTAGAAAGAGAGATCCTTTAATTTTACATGGGAATTTTCAAAAAATTCATCAAATCAAAGGGAGAAATCGTAATAAATAAGCACAAATATCAGAAGCAAGTGCCCGCTTGGAAACTCTGGAGTTGAAGTAAACCCAGGCGATCATTTCGGTGACAATCGTTTCACTCTCGGTAATTTCCGGTTAAACCATAGGAAAAATTCACTGGTTCGACGAGTCATCCGATATCGTTGAGGCGGAAAGGGGGAGACCGAGCGAGACGAGAAAAAGTCTGGTGCTTACCTGAGCTCCGCGAAGGACGGCGAGCCGAGCCTCTCGCTGCTCGAGGAGTCGGCGTTGCTGGGCGATCTCCCGCTGCTGGCGCGACGCCATGCTTTCAAGTTCGCTGAGCACCAGCACGGCACCCGCCCCCGCCCACTGGTAACTGCAAAATAATCGTCAATGATATCAAGCTTCCTCCCGGCAAAGTCAAGGATGGCGACAGCGGCTGCATTCTCCGGGAGCCGTCTTAAGCTACGCGTCATTCTTTACTCTCGCGCGTAGCGCTAACCAAAGGTCCCCTCGCTGCGCATTCGACGGAAATTAAAGTCCGAGTCGTGCTCTACCGAAGTGTCCGCACGGGAGCACAGGTAGCAAGCGAAGGGTGTGACCGAGTAGCAAATCGATACAACAATCAAATAGCGCAATCGAAGCTCGACGAGGGTCCAGGTATGCAGCGTGAAATTATTCGCCATCCGCATATCGACGTAACTAATCAGAAAGTTTTGGAGCCTCAAAAGCGAACAGCAGCGCGCTTATGTGCCCTTTTACGAAGCTGTGTTTCGCCAGCCACCGGAAAGTTGGCCGCTACATGCTTTCCCAAGCGTAAAAGCTCGCGGCTGCTGCGTACCCGACAAGTCGACCAGTAATTTGCCGAGTGCTAGGGCGGAGAGAGGGTTGGGTTGCCTTATACCTCGTGCCGATTAAATACCTGCAGAGTGGATCCTTTCCAATTGATGACTTGATCTTTACCATGATTTGCTGTTTAGGGCAAATGCTTTTGTATTAGTCGTCTCCCGTTACATTTCTCGTACGACAGCTCTCGAAGTGAGCTATCATCCAGTACGCAATATCCCGACTGATAAAACTCTGCCTGCACATTTCGAGCGAAACATGCCAATTCAAGTTGCATCATCGATGAATTTCGATTTCCCAAATTACATCGCAATCCGATTTGAAAACGTACTGAAATTTTTAAAATAACACGAATTTTCGACGAATGCACTTGAAATCAATTCAGCAATTCTTCGCAAATGGAACGAATTGAATTGAGCACGCGCGCATCGCTTATTCATGAGCATATACTTTTCCACGATGATTGGCTCGCATATAATTCGTCAGCGGGCATTCCACCGTCGCTCGTAAATTGCCGCGATAAAAATCCTTGAATTGGCCATAAATCTCGGCGGACGATTGTCAACGGCGAATCTTGGTGGTTTTGAGCGTCTGCCACGAGTCTCGAGACAAAAGCTCGCGCGCTCGCTTGCTCGTATCGCGTGACTTTTACGGGAAGCCCACCTTTGGAAAGCGGCGGGGGGAAAAAAAGCTCGGCATACCAACGTCGACGAACAAAGCACGAACGCGCGCGCGTGCACGCCCACGCGCGGACCCGCTCATTCCGGTTTTGCGGCGCGTAAATAATGCGGCTCGCGCGCAGTGCGACACGGAAGGCTAGATAAATAAGCGGACTGCCGCTAATGAATTGCCGGCGGCAGCAGACCTCGGATTTTCATTTAGTGCGCGGTTTTGTAAATTCGTCCGCCTGAATGGCCGAAGAACGACGATTACCGACCAAGGGGGACAATTGTTTGTGCGTTTCAGCTGCGCGCGCTAAGACGATTAATTTCGAACGCTAATCACATGTTCGGTTGTTAACTTTATTTCCTATCCCGGCGGCGATTGCATTACACGCGATCGCGTGTGTCGTTGTCATGGTTGCTTTATATCGTTAATTCCAGTTCCGGCTCTGATTGGATTTCGTTGGATTCAGAGACGACGTTGAAGGGCAAATTCGATCATCGCATTTGTTTCACATTTCATGCATACGCTTCTTTTTTTTTGAGCGATAATCTATCATCAAAATTCAATTCATAAGTCATAAAAAAAGTATTTTCTGATTTCATAAGCTTAGGTTTGTATTTAAAGTTAAATAAGAGGTTATTTAATGTGACGTTAGGAGGATGTCGCTGGTGCAACTCGCAATCATAGTTCTTTGCTTCGCTCTCCTTTAGAATACGTTCAAGCTATTTTTCATCTAAACATGCTTTAAAGAGAAAAAATCAAGTTAAGTTTGCTTTGACTTTTCTTTATTTTCCTTAAAAACGCAATTGATAATCTTGCTTTCTTTTGTATAGCGATATCGAAATTATCATTGATCCGAAAAGAAAAAACTTTCGTTTCAAGCAGAAAGCGAAAAACACAGAAGCGACGCGATCGTTAAAAAAGACCTCTGAGCAGATTGCCCGTACATACAAACGTGATCGTCGGGAACGAGTACCGCGGAGACAACCAGCCCGCACAAAGAACTTCACTGATCAATTAAAAAGCGCCATTCTCGTGAAAATAAATCAAGCAGAGAGACAATTATCCCACACTCGAACTGTCAATCAAGTCTTTGGTCCGAGGTCGACCTTGGTCTAATCAATCATCGGCTTTGCATTTTTGTTTCGCTTTTTGCGGTTCTTCGAAAATTGATCGCCGCCAGAGCCAGTTGCTCGTGGTACGTCCGTCCTTTTTGTCGTCGTTCCGATCGAGTTTCACAAACCTCAGGAATTCGACGACGACACACTCGCGCGTACAGAGCCTCGCGTCAATTTACCCTGATGATGACGATGATTACGATGATGGCGATGATGACGACGACGATGATGATGATGAGGACGACGACGACTGTGATGATCGCTGCTGAAGCGGGGTATTATGTTATGTACGAGCGACCTTTCCCTTTTTATCATTCAAAGGCTTGTTTGTGCAAGACAAAGAGCCGAGTGTACACCCGGACTACTTTTTCGCGCGCGCTCTTTCTTTACAAACTTTCATCTGCTTTCGCAGAATCCGTATTTTTAATCAACGGAATTTTCGACTTTACTAAAAGCCAGCTTCATAACTTCCTCTCTCGAGTTTCCGCTCTTTTTGAGAAGTGCGCTCCTTTTTTTTTCTCACCGAGTGGGCAAAAAATAATCTCTTCCTTAGCCGTAAAAACGAGAGGAGGAACCGAGCTTCTGCCAACTACACCTACTTAACTGTGCGAGGCAGCGGCTCTGTTTTCCCGCATAGCAGCCATAACTTACACCTCGAAACATTTATCCTCCTCCTCGTCCCTCATTTTCTGCGGAGAAAAAGAGAAACAAAAAGGTGAGGACGCGCGAGAATTGCCGAACGTGCGCCTATGCGTCAGCGACTGGACCTCGTCACGATTATCGGCGAACTGGTCGGAATATATGATTTGTTGAGGCGACGATGGTGGTGCCCTCGCCACCAAGTTCGACGTGCCATCCCTCGGCGACGTACGGGGCAGGGCAATTTGTAAATGTAAATCACAAGCTTCGAGCGCCGAATTCCCCTTTACGATTCTTGTACTCGTCGCGCGACTAACAACCGCGCGGTGCCGCGAGCTTTTACGATCGAGACAGGTGCTGCTGCTGCTCCCGTGTCATCCGAGGCTGACCGCCGTATCTCTTCGTAAATATTTCGCCTTTAAAGTCGGCTGTAAATCACGACACTCGCGTCCGTGAGCTTTAACGACGCCTAATTCCGTCGCCGTCGACGACGGCGACGAAGCTGAATTCATCGGGTGCGTGTCGAGGTACGAGGCGGCGATGGACTTTCGCTTTCGTCTGTGGTGGCGAGGAGCGAGCTTACGTTTAACGAATTTTTGATCGGTACTCGTTGTTGGTTGACGACGGAATGTGTTAAAGTTCGTCGATTGACGGTTTTTCAGTATGTTCTTTGAGAGCAAAAGCCGTCGTTCGGTCTACTTTGACTCTTTCACTCTGTTTTTTATATTGTTCCGAATAGCTTCTATCGAAGTGTTCCGTTTACTCTTTAACGGTCCGTTCTTTTATAATTAACAACACTACTAAACAATTAAAATCTACCCCTCAGCAATATCATGGCATGCTCATAAAACCCATGGTATTCGGGATCGAAGTCTAATCGACACTGCCACGGAATCGTGCAACTAGACATTAAGTAACCTACCGAAAATTATGTATTTTTGAAACGCCCAAATATTTGAGATAGCTATCGCTTTTCGCGACTTAATTACATGAGCTCTTCGATTTGGAGACAGAAAACTCGATAAAGAGTCGGGATTCATCCGCAAGAGCGAGCTAGAGTGTCCGACTTATTTTCGTCCTTGTTTGATTTGTAGCCACAACGGCACCGAGGATCGTTAGACCCGATATTTACAAGCGATGAGTTGACGTTACACCGCGGGATCTTGGACAAAATCTAAAGTTCGAAATCGCGCGGACCAGTTGATTTCGCGAGCGCCACTATTTTCAGGCATGAAAAATTCAAATTGCCACGTCCTACGATGAGAAATTTTTGTTTTCATTCCGTCAGAAAATTCAAAACGACCTCGATTCCCATTGTCGCGTAAAAATGCGCCGAAAATAAAAAGTGCAACAAAGGACCAAATAATTTTCATCTCGCGTTTGCTGGAGCACATTACAGCCCGTTATTTACGCAGAGCAAACTCACGCGCGAGCAAGTTGATACGACTGTTCTCTTTCTCGTTTTTAACGTAGAGCACGCACGATAGTGAAGCGAGAATTGTTTTTTTCGTCATCCGGTCGTTCGCGACTTACGACGAATAATAAAGGCCCGCATCGATTTGTTGACCGGCCGAAAACCGGGCACCTCTTTTCAGTTGTTCGCGGGCGTAGAAGACGCGAGTTTTCTCGAATAGCCGACACGGATCTGTCTAAGGGGGATAGGCGATAAACTTTCCTTCCCTGGGAAAGGACCATCTCCACGGACACATTCACATGCGACGTGCAACACTGATTTCGAGGGATCGCGCTAGTCGTTGTCCTCGCATGCATCGACTGCGTCGCACTCACCTCATTGTTATTAACAACGGTCTGCTCGGCTCTGTGGTCGATTCTCTCCTTGACGGAGACGATTTTGGCGCTACGTCTCTTGGATGGCCGTGAATGCTGCCTCAGCCGCAGCGTCACCATTCTCGACTTGAAACTTTCGGCCGGGTACACGCACGCTAGCATCTCTCACCCTGATTGATCAGCTGTCTGCGCTCGAGAGATTTTTTTTGTTTTTCTTTTATTTTTCTGCGTTTGAGCGAGCTCAGAAGAGTGTAATATGCTGTAGCTGCCGACGCTACCGCTGTGATGAACGTCTCCTTTTTCGCAGCTGATTGCGTGGTTTTGTAACGAAATTGCGGCTTCAGCGCACTTCAGCGAAAAAGAGATTTACGTTTTATTTTTGCGTGGCAATTTCGTTGCAATGCACGTTTCACTTGAAGATAAAAGGGAATGATGATGTAGGATTTGAGAAAAAAGTACGTAGAAAGGGTAAGACACAGAGCTATGTATTCGGGATAGAGATCTTGCCCACAGAAAAATGCAGCAAGGATCAGAGTATTTTGAGCAGAGTTGTATCGAGACTTGATGTATTGATGCTGAATATTATTTGAATAGAGCGCTCGATTCGACTCTGCTCCATCGAAACGACAACGGTGAGTGATGAATGTTAAAATACATCGAAAGGCAGTAGACAGAAAATTTATTGGAAAATATGTAATTTTTTAGCGTATTGCAGTCCGACGACGAAATTTATCGTAGAGTGATTTACTTGACTTGACGTAAATATCGAGAGAAAAAAGAACAATTTTCAGTTGAAAAAATAATAAACAGATTGAAAAAAAATGAAACAAGAGCAACATTTTATACTAGAGATAAAAATATGGAAGAGCAATTTCATTCGAAAAAAGGTAAATATTAATAAATGGTTCGATTATATGTGAAATTCCATGCGACGCAATAGAAACGAGAATAGGAGGAAGAGAGAATTGTGCGACTTATTAGACGCGCAATGACGTATTATAATCGCTCGAAGCCATACGTACAATGTGTAGCTGTCGAGCGCGGACGATACTACACCCGCTTCGGATTCACTTGTCCGCGGCGAGCGACGCGAAAGAAACCACACACCACTCGCCAGCGCGTTACGCTTCTTCAGGCGCCTGTGCTTTCCACTTTGAGCGCGGCCAGAGGACACGCACTCCGTTGCAATGCTGCAGTCGGGGACCTATTATCAAGCGCCTCTCCCGAAAGCGCGGCGGCACGTAGCCGTGGGCGAGAAAAAATAATAACGGGCGAAGTTGGAAAGGTACGCGCGGGGAGGGCCCTCGCATGCGCGCTTTTCAGTCGTAAATAACGCGGGCGCAGTCGGCATTTGCCGCGAGGCGAGCAAACAGCGCTAGAGCCCCCAAAACAAATGTTGTTCCCGATCCGAGGTCGTTCGGTGCCGGCGACCATTTTGCCTGTTTAATTATGTTTACGCGGCACACGCGCGCTCCCGCTATCGGAAACAAAAATCGCCCGATCCGCGCGCGCGCTCGCTTGGCGGGATGTACAATTGCCGACGGCCGTAAGGGCGCGCGTTCGAGTGCGATCTATTAACAGTGCAAATTGCGGGATTCGCTCGCTTCGATCGCTCTTCTATCGGTTTGCGGATTGCTCTCGATTCCCGGCTTTATAGCAATTATTATTTAGCGATTGCGCGTTGCTTCAAAGTCAAGTTTCGAGGCAAACTTCTTTTTCATTCGCCATTGTATAAAACGAACGTGATAACGGACCGAGTCGATGCTCAATGTGGAGCGAATAATAAATGAAATGGTTCGTGCAGTTAGTCCGCTTATCCGCCAACGCCAATTTCATTTCTGCATCCGGTGGGCAATAGTGTTTTTATCGATTCCCCGATCGGATTCATAAAAACTTTAGTAGTAAAAAAAACGTGTCGCGAATATTCTCTTTGTCGCGTTTTTCATAAATCGACGACTACGAAGTCGCGACAATAGCCAAGTCACAGCGATGTACGTACGCGCGGCAAAACTTTTAGCCCGCGAGCGAGTAAACAGCGTCGCGTTACTTAATGGAGTGTTTTGATGTGCGAAAGAGAGAAAAATAAAGAATTAATGAATATTCGATATAATAACGGAGAAGCTTTTAACGCCAACGTGCAATTAAATCCTCTCTGTGAATTCCCGATCTGAATAAAGAAGAGGGAGGGAGAGAGAGAGAGAGAGAGAGAGAGAGAGAGAGAGAGAGAGAGAGAGAGAGAGAGAGAGAGAGAGAGAGAGAGAGAGAGAGAGAGAGAGAGAGAGAGAGAGAGAGAGGAAAAGCAAGTTCGCTTCTTTTTTAATTAAAAAAGCTTTTGCCATCGAGTGTAACTCGCAGGAATTTGCCTAACAGTTGCGAACTGCTTGTCCATTAAGTACTCGCGAAGTGCAGCGCTTCGCGCAGTTTATAGCCTCGTCGTCGTCGTCTTCGGCAATTCAATCGAGTCTCCGCCGGCACTCCGAGCAGTAAAGCACTTTCCTTTCGCGCGCTCGCCGAAAAACTTAACAATCGAACGGCCGGAGAAAGCGGACTCGATCGCCGCACCGCAAAGATGCAATTATATCGCGCGGGCCAGCTAATTTTCCGACTCGCCGAGCGGGAAACCGCAGCGCTGATATCGCGCCCTATTCCATTTCTCATTTATATTTTAACGTCGCGCCTTCTCTGTCAATGTAATTTCTTCATTGAATATTCCAAGCTGCGAATTGCCGCTTAGGATAATTACCGGCTTTGACGCGCGAAGCGGCCAGCCTTTTTTCAATGCACGACGTGGCCGAGGGGAGAAAATCTCATTTCGGAGAGGGCAGACGACGTCGTCCAATAAAAGTCAGCGCTAAGCAGCCGAGACATTGTCGCGCGTTTTATTTACGAACCGAAAAAGAAAGTAAGGGCACGTACGGGCGCGTCGACGGGCTATCTTATTTTCTTTCGATTAGAGCCGCGGCGGCGAGTCATTGATGGACGACCCGCCGAAGGATATGTAGAGCTCGCGCGAATATGTTAATGCACAACAGGCGTGCAATCAATCATCGAGCCGCTGCGCGTGCATTGTGTTATATGCAGAGCCGGGTGAAAATATTAAAGGCTCTCCGTACATAAAAGCGACGTTCTGCATAATGCATTCTTCGGCTTCGACTTGGCGAGCGCGCTGTCTAAGGATATCGTGAATCGAGCCAACTTCCAACGGATTATGCGCACGAAGGGAGAAAGATTGCCGCGAAAAACGATGTAACATAGGTCAATGCTGACTTCGCCGCCGAGCATTTCAACAATGACTTTGGTTCTCTCGCTCGATGGTCGTCCACTTCAAATTCATTCAGCGACTCTTCGCGACGAGCAATTCCATTTTATTAATCGGGAATAGCGAGCGGAGGTACTTTTGGCGCACTTAATTCAGAGGCGCACTCTCGAGACATTTGCGAAGTGGCGACGAAGAGTCGCGTGAGCGCTCAGAGGAGCTGCGACGATTTATCAAAGAAGTGGCCTTATCGGCTCCTAATGGCGATGAGAGAAAATCCAAGAAATCGAATGCCGCGAGCGACCTGATTTTTTTCTAGGAAAAGAAAATTGAATGTTCAGCGCGCAAAAGGCGTAAACTTACCCCTGATGTACAAACTGCTCTGTCCTAAATTCATCTGAGACTATTAACATTCCACATAACTACAGGACAAGGTGGGAAGCAGTTAACGAGCTACTAAAACATGGGAGGGTAAAGAGCAAACGGTTTTCAAAAAAAACGAGAAATTTTGTTTTTAGGGGCAATGTTTACACAATTATTGAACTTACGGATGTATGTATATATAGTCGAGAGTAGTTAGGACTATAAATTATTCAAATTGACGTAAAAAATCTGTAAGCTTTTTTCAAGCTTACCTCGAAACTCTTAGTGCGGAAGCTTTTGAAAATAATTCCAACCAGGGTGAAAAAAATGCAAAGAACTATAAGATTCTTAACTCACACCAAAAAACAGGGTGTCCAAAATTTTTTACGGGTTTATAAAAAAACGTCACACTAAACTTTTTCTCTCAAAAACAACAAATTCCGGAGCAAAAAAGAGGCACGGAGGATTTCGTTTCGGCAAAAGAACCAACTCAATGTTTATTAGCTCGTCGTTTGTCAGCAAGCCAGTGGCGTACACGGCATAATTTGAAATTTAAATAACGCTCAAAGCACGCGTGTAGGTATACACGAGATCAAATACAAGTATAGGTATTGATTTTAAATTTGTAACGCGAGGCGATTTACAGCGGATTCATTTTTGCCGCCGCTGCCGCGAGAGAGAGAGAGAGAGAGAGAGAGAGAGAGAGAGAGAGAGAGAGAGAGATGTCATACGTCAGAGCGCAAATACGTATCCTCGTTATATATCGCGAAATTCAATTCCGATGTCCTATCTCTCTCGTCGTTGGGTAATAATGCCATTCGATTGCTGGATCAGTGTTTCTTCCGTGCTGGCTTCTGCGAAAATACTATTTTCCAATTTTTCTATCTCTCACCGACAAGCTTTTTTCGCTTCGATTGATGGATATAACCATTTCGCAAAACGCCAGAGTACTTCGATTGCAATCTTTACAGCTGGGTTATTTTTCAAATTTTTCATATGTGACACATATTCGTATATAATTATTCAGACTCCGACAAGCCCCTGCGACCTCCTCTCTGTTAGTGCCTTCGCTGTGTCGCGAGGTGATTATGGTTACCGTTAGAATCTCGCGACTTTATCTGTCGTCTTTTAAATTTCGACGATGGTAGCCGAAAGGCGAGCTTAAAAGCTACCGAAAATTCAATGTAACATTGGAGTTACTCCGACAACTTGTTTTCCACGGCCTCCCAATTACGTAAACGACGACGACATAATAGAGTCGAGTATGCACGAAAATATCGTCGGAAAATTGTGGCGAGATGGTTGACCCTGAAAAGCCGCTCGCGTCCTCGTCGCAGCGTCATCCCCGCGGATCTTTGAAGCTTTTGGCGTCACCTTTTTTCAATTTTTCTCTCAGTGTACTTTTTGCCGCTTTAACCCCCCAAGGACGCAACGCGCGCCGTTCGTCAACACGAGGAGCAACCGTAGTCTATATACGCCTTTTTTTAAAACATCTTCTCTGGGATGAAATTCTTTTTTTGTATGAACTTTGAAGTCTTGATGAGTTGGGCTTGAATTTAGTGATTTT